CAGAAGTGCTGTCAGTCTCCTTCAACATAGTGCTTCACACTTCACACTGGGGCTGGACACTGGCTATGCTGGTAAGCCATCACTGTGAGCATTGAGGAAAAGCCCAATATGATCTGAGACATCGTCTAGTTTTCGTTACCGAAACATGTTCTCCGCGGTCAATTAAAAGTCAGTTGGTCGGTTGCTCCTTGATGAATCAGACAGTCTGCTAACACAAACTAGATGTCCAAGGCCCCATCGGACTGGTTGAGATGCTCGACCTCACTAACTATGTTGCCTTGGTTGCCCGGGGCACCCATTCACACTTTGCCCAGAACAAAGTTGTGATTTGGGACGACCAGAACAACAAGAAGGGCTTGCACATTAGCCTCGTGCAGCCCATTCGAGGAGTGCTCCTCGGTCCTCTACTCGGCCAGCGACACGTCGTCATTGTTTTACAGGACAGCATTCGTCTTCACACTTTCAACAAGAAGCCAGAGTTTGTCACACAGTACGAAACTACATACAACCCGCTCGGTCTCTGTTGTATGTCCGACAGGCTCCTCGCATTACCAGGGAACACATCCGGACACGTCCAGCTAGTTGACCGAGCAATCAAGACGGTGAACATAATCCCGGCGCACAACTCTGCTTTACGAGCACTGCAAATGAGCCGCGATGGCGAACTTCTGGCCACGGCGAGTGACAAGGGCACGCTAATCAGGATCTGGTCGACAAAGACGCGTGCGAGGGTGGCCGAGCTGCGTCGCGGTGTTGATCCCTCCACGATTTTCCACCTGGCTTTCAATCCATCAGGCACCATGCTGGCTTGCACATCAGACAAGTCAACATTGCACATATTCGATGTTCCGCACCCAAATCTGAATATGGCGCCCGCCTCGGACCAAGACGGCGAGTCTTCTACGTCAAAGGATGACAAGGGGAAATGGGGTTTCTTGGGCAAGGTGCCATTCATGCCAAGGGTCTTCTCCGACACGTACTCATTCGCCAGTGCCATGTTTGAATCGAGAGAAGACCTCGTCAGCAGCATGTCTAAGCCGCAGCAAGGTGTTATCGGATGGATTGACGACAACACAGTAGTCGTTGTCGGTGCCGGACGTGATTCCAAGTGGGAGAAATTTGTGATTCGCAAACCTCATGAAACACCAGACGGGAAGCGTGACTGCGTGCGTGAGGGCTGGAAACGCTGTCTGGGAGGCACTAGGTAGGGCCAGTTTCGAAGACACGGAACTCCGGCAGAGACGCTGGACTGGAGACAAGGATTTCGAACACATTTGGCTATTGGCGCACGGTTGAGACTGGGGTTGGGATTCATGGTGACGACTGCAACGAGTGTAAGGCATACAAGCGGAATGACGGCCTGAATACTGGGTTTCTTAAGTACCATTTCTTTTCAGATAGTCTCTATCTTCTCGGCCGAGGCGAACGTGAGCGACTGCGCCTTTTGCTACGATCGTCATCTTCGTCGTCCTTATGCCTTCTTCGTCGCGGCTCATCGTCATCATGGCGTCGTCGTTCTCGCCTCGCCCGGTCATCCTCCTTGCCACGATGCCGCCGATCTCTCGATCGGTCCCTAGGGTGTCGCTCTCTGTCAGCTCGGGCCGTTTCTCTGCGTGGCTCGCGATGTGGAGAGCCACCGTCTCTTCGTCCTTCACGGCGGGAGTCTTTCGTTCTGTCCTTGGCTGACGGAGACTCGTCGCGCCTTGACCTTCGACTGCGGTGCCTATCATCTCGTTCTGTGTCGCGCATCTCCTCGTCGCTATTTTCTCGCCTAGACCGGTGCGACCGATGTCGATGCTTGTGTTTCTTCTTCCTTTCCAACCTTTCGTGCTCGCGCACTGCTTCCTCGACCTCTTTCTTCTTCTCTTCGATCAGGAAAGCTTTCATTGGATCGTCCTCGTCGTGGTCGCGAACGAGAAGGGCAAGCTCTCTCTCTTCAGGTAGCATGGGCCTCTGTTCGGCCTCCTCGTCTTCTTCGTCTTCCGTGTCGTCTCCGCCACCACCACTCTCCCGTTTCGTCATTGTGGCCCAATCAACCTTACCCTCGTCAGGGTCTTCGTCGTCCCGGAACTTGTACCGCGCATGGTCTACACGCACCATGCGACTGCCAATTGTTGCGCCGCCGAGATTGTCCACGGCGAGGTCGGTGCTGCGCTGGTCCTCGTACTTGAGCCAACCGAACCCCTTGGCCTTGCCCGTCTCCTTGTCGCGTGCAAGCTTCAGCCACACGGGCTCACCAAACTGGGAAAAGATTGTGATCACGTCGCCCTCGGACATTTCGTAGGGAAGGCCGCCAAAGTAGATAAAGGCCGTATCGCGGTAGTCGACGTGCCAGGAGGCTTCTGGGGAGCTGGCGGAGAGGTCAGAGAAGATCGCCCGCTGAAGGAGACGACTGGGCAGAGACTGCAACTCACATTCCATTCTCTATTTCTTGCTTGTTCAAGGCTTGTATTGCCTTGATCTGGTTCATGGTGACAAAATCTGTGGACCACAGACCTTGAAGTTGGAGAAGGCTGTCACAGGGTCGCGCGCGAAGATGACGAACTTGCATGCAAGGCTGCAAGAAATCACAAGGAACCAAGTAGCCTAGCCTGGAGCTTTTGGAGCACTGACCAGCTTCCGTTCTAGCGCGCCATGCGCTGGAAGCCGAAGCTTGGGCGGGCGGCTGCTGCCCCAACGATCGGTGTTCCTCGACGCACTGTGCCTGGCTCATAGCTGCCACTACCTGAACTCTAGGCGGGAAAAACGCCGGGCCGGTGGAGACGCCAAATTCCCCGACCAGGGTCCCTCCAAAACTCGCCCGTGATGAGAAGGGGCCTCTTGGGAATTGGGAACGTGCTCCCCGGCCCAGTTGTTCGAAGCGGTGACCAGTCTCGCTGCACGACCCCAAGAAGCTCCGTGATCGACTTGCTGTCCCTGTCTCCCCGTCTGTTCGCGGTTTCTGTCCACAGTCGACCCCCCACGAGCTCTCGTCTCGGCGCATGGTCTCCTTCACCTGTGTCCCGTTGCAACCTCGAGCTAAAACGCGTCAAGCTTGACGATCCACACACCCACCGACCTCCCTACTCCTCGACACCACATCTCCCAATCATTCTCTCCCCTGACGACCAAAATCCCCATGACGGCCACTGAATCGCCTTGACCATGGCCGCGAACGGAAACCGGGTCTCAACATACACGTCGGTCTCGACCGGCTCCGACAGCCGCAATGCCGAAAAGAAGGATCTCTGGAGCACCCTCCTCGACTCGGTAGCGAGCGGCAAACGGCTGCCAGAAAAGAATATCATTGTTCTGGGTGGCAACTCTGACTCGCAACGGGAGTTTCTCGATGCCCTCTCCAACAGCAGCGAGAAGCGCACCCTCGATCGGCAGAGCTCGAAGCCGCCCCCTGTCGCCAACAGCTTCGCCCTCGGCTACACTTACTACGATGTGCTGGACGCCGATCAAGAAGGTCCGTCTGGCTGGCGAAACGAGCGAGCACCATCCCCCTCGGTGCCGCCAAGACGCTCTTGACTGACAGATTCTGGTAGACACGCTCGCACGAATATCCCTGTACATGCTCTCGAACCCGTCCGAAGCGTTCCCCAGGCTCCTCGAACCCCTGATCACGCCCGAATCCATACCTAACACTCTGGTCGTCGTGCTGCTCGACTGGTCAGCGCCGCACTTGTGGATGCGCCAATTGCGAAAATGGGTGTTGTTCATGCGTAGCGTTTTGGAAAAGACGGACAGTGAGTGTCAGACGGCAATGGAGGAGGCAATGGCCGGGTGGCGGGATAGGGGACGTGGTGGCGGGTCCATGAATCTGGATGGCACGGCAGCCGCTTCAACCAGCGAAGGCGACGTTGCGTTACCCCTCGGTCCTGGCGAGTGGGAGGAGGGCCTTGGCTTGCCGCTTTGTGTGGTCTGCCAAAACGTGGGTCGTCCGTCTGTGGAAGTTGTCGGGGTAATGCGCTGACCTTATGACAGGCTGAAAAGATCGAACTGTTGGAGAAATCCCAGGGTTGGAAAGAAGGCGACTTTGACCAAGTTTTGCAGTACATTCGTACGGCGCTGCTCAGGCGTAGGTAACCGTTCAATCTCGGCCATGAGACGACGTCGATGCTGACAGTACCAAACACAGACGGCTCATCACTTATCTACACAACACCAAATGTGCCCTCGCCACTACCGAGTCTCATTCATTCGAGTCTGGGCATCACCTCACTCCTGAAACGCCAGCCTCTCAAGCACAACGTCATCGACAGAGACAAGATTCTTGTCCCTCCTAACTGGGACTCCTGGGGCAAGATCCGTGTTCTTCGCGACGGTTTCGACGTCGAGGCTACTAGTCTCGGCTGGTCCCATGATCTTCAGTCTAACTTTACCTCCCCCTCCATGACGACCGAGGGCCTCGCCGTTCTTGCGAAGGCCAAGACGGAAGGCTCCTACGACGGCGAGGCCTGGACCTCAGCCGTCGCCCCATACGAGGACTGGATCCGCGACCTGTCGTCCACGGCCGACGCACATCGTCGCTTGGCGGCCAGGACGTCGCCGCCACCTCCTCCCTCGAGGTCAAATCGCAGGACACGCAGGACTTCCTCGGCGCGAGCCTCTCAACGCTCGAGGCTTTCAAGATCAAGGCCGAGCAAAAGTCGGCGTCTTCTGATGTCGCGCGATCCTCAACTACGGCTTCTAGCAGCGCCCGCGCCTCGACCGTTCGTCGTGCCGACGACGGCGCCAACGACGGCAAGGTCAGCGAGCACATTGGCCCCGTGCAGTTCAACATGGGCGGCATCCAAGTCGACGCCGATGACATGGTCCAGCGCCTCAAGGACCGCCAGGCCTACGGCACCCCGCCCACCCCACGGCTTCGCCCCCAGACTCGGGCGTCGCCCCCCCCGGTGTCGGCGCGGGCATTGGCAGCCCAGGACCCGCGAGCCCCGCCGCAGCAGGCGACGGCCCGGAGGTCATGGATACGGAGAACCTGCAGGCCTTCTTCAGCGGGCTCATGAACCGCAAGGGTGCCGGCGCGGCGGGCAGCCCGCGGCCCGGTGTCTGAGATGGCGGCCGAACGAGAGGGAGAGAGAAAGGGGCTGAAAGAGAAGAAGAGACACGGCAGAGAGCCGACGGCAGGGCTACGGCGCGGCGCCTCTGTTGAGCATGTCTGGAAACCCCCCTTGCCCGCCAAACTGTCAACTGTTGTGTAGATTAGATACCCCCCCGGAATGAACATGAAAATTCAAGCACGACTCGTCCGACTGGCAGTATGCAGTCACAAGTTCAGCAAGTATGTTGATTAGGAGCATCCAGAGGGGTAAGCATGAGTGAAGTAGACGTGCAAGTTCTGTCTGGTCATTCTCGTCCCGCCCACGCCCATCGCGCACGTTGCAATGCATTCATCGATCGCTCATCATTTTTCAAAACGATATATCTACCACTCATTTCGTCCCCGCGAGCTTTGATATCTAGACAAGAATTAAGACCCAAAAGATCCAAAAAAAAATGGGCGAAAATGACAATGGCGACATCCCATCAGGAAACAAAACTCCAGTAGGAAAAGTCCACAGCCTGAAAATCTGGCCACTGACGGCGTTCTTTTTTCCCCTTTTCCTTCTGACATCTCTCTACTGTGCCTATCTGTCCGTCTGTCCTAGTACTCCACATCCTCCTTGGCGCATGGTCTGAACTTGCCCTCCTCCACGACGTACGCCCCGGGCTTCCCAGTAGCCACCAGTTCAGCGAGAGCCGGGTTCCGCCTGACGACGAGGTCATCTGGGCCCTTGACGATGATCAGGTTGCGCAGACCGCCGCGCGCCTCGCCGTACAGTTTGATGAAGACCTTGCGGACAGTCTCGTCGTCGGCGCCAGAAGGATCTCGTACGACGATATATGTGCGGCCGCCGAGGCGGGAGCTGACCACACCGGAAAGGAGTCCGGGGAATAGCCAGGGGTACTGCAGGATCTCGGCCTCAAAGGCGTTGAGCGTCTCGCGAGCTAGCGCGGTGTAGGTTTCTGTGGCGAGAGCGACACCGAGGCGGAAGAGGTTGGACACGGAGACGGCGTTGTTGGAGGGGAAGGCGGTGTCCATGCCATCCTTGAGGCGGAGAATGGTGTGCTTTGCATCTTCGGTCGTAGCGAAGAAGGCACCGCACGATGAGTGAGCCGGTAGAGGGTTGGGGCTGGCTGAAGTTGGTTGGAGCCGAGGCGTCATAGAAGAGCTTGATCTGTGTTTTCTGTACCACAAAAGTCAGCAGCGATCCATGGCTCCAAGTACACACATTTTCCGAACTCACGCTGAAGCTCGCCGGAAAACGCGATGCAGTTTTCTTCGTCCGGGGCCCTCGTACAAAGT